GACTTCACATCTTACATGTATCTTAAAATCCCTTCCCTGTAGTGCCAGCTCTGACCTACTGCAGACACTTTCTAACATTTTCAGGCTCAGGGTGGACTTCAGTGTTTCTGGAAAGGTCTTAGATCAAGCTTAGGCCCCATCACTAACTCCCCTCTTCTCTTTCCCCCCCAGTTTTTCTCAGGGGTCTTGGCTCACCACAAATCATGGCAAGGGGGTAGATCATGAGCTGTCATTCATTTTTTGTTTGTTTTTACTCACAGTTATTTTTATGTTTGAGCATTCTTTTTTTTTTTTTTTTGAGACACAGTCTCACTCTGTCGGCCAGGCTAGAGTGCTGTGGCATCAACCTAGCTCACAGCAACCTCAAACTCCTGCGCTCAAGCGATCCTACTGCTTCAGCCTCCCGAGTAGCTGGGACTACAGGCATGTGCCACCATACCCGGCTAATTTTTTCTATAGATATTTTTAGTTGTCCAGCTAATTCTTTCTATGTTTTTAGTAGAGACGGGGTCTCACTCTTACTCAGGCTGGTCTCGAACTCCTGAGCTCAGACGATCTGCCCGCCTCGGCCTCCCAGAGTGCTGGGATTACAGGTGTGAGCCACCGCACCCGGCCTGTTTGAGCATTCTTGTCTTCAAGTTTTGAGTAGTTTTATCTTTCTTTTCTCTTCACTCCATATTGTTTTTCTAGGCAACATTGGGAGATGGGGACCTATGCTGCCATCATCATCTTCCTCCCTGGAAGCCTCTCACAAAATACTGACTTTCCATCCCTCCTAAGGTGTAGAGTCCTCAGGATCCAAGGAAGAATGCGGCCATGAATGGACACTGCTGTGGTTCTTTTGAACTGGAAGTAGACACTGCCACCCTGTCATTTGCCCTCTTGTGCCTTGGAACCAGTATCTCTAAAAGAGCCATTGATCCTGATTATCAAGGAAGAAATTGTTGCTGCCACACAGTGGAGACAAGGAGAAGGCTGTCACACCCAGGGGATCCCGAGACATCTCAGGACTGTCAGGTTCAATGATAACGTTAATGAAAGACTCAAGTGACCCAACGCAGGCAAAATTACCAAGGAGTCAGACCCTTCAGGAATGAGGGTCACCTCATTAAATAAAGATTCTGAGGACAAAAGGAACACAGAATGGGTTTGGAAGAAAAATTTAAAAATACCAATCTAGGGTTAACAGATAAAATACAGGATACCCAGTTATATTGAATTTTGAAGAAACGACTTATTTTTTAGTGTAAGTATGTCCTACTAACAACTAAAAAATTAGTTGTTGTTTCCCAAAAATTCAAATTTAACTGGACATCCTGTATAACACATTTGCTGAATCTGGCAGCCCTAATTATGGCCTTGTAACTTGTTGCACAGAAGACCCATACTTTCTTCCTTGCGTGTAGAATAGAGATTAACCAATATTTTCCCCATCTTTTCCCTCATTACATATAAAGTGTGTTATTGATGATGAACTTGATAATTCAGCATATTTGTTACGACATATCGAGGTGAGATTATAACTAAACTATATCAACATGCGCTTTCCGATTACCACAACAGGGGAAGAGAAGTCTGGAAACTTAGGCCCTGGCAATGACATGTTTTGCCCCAGAACTGACACCAATCACATTTCATTAGCTAGAGCTGGGCTCGAGGCCAGGCCTGCCTTCAAGGTGAGGAAGGGTACTGGTGTATCTGGAAGCAGAGACCCAGCAACTGGTGACCATGATTAACGTCTGCACAGGTGCACAAAGTAACTCATGGATGGGACTTTGGGCATTTCCTTTGGGGAAGAATTTCTGGTTATATGAGGGATAGTTGCCCAGGAGCGTGGTGTTGCTGCTGAGATCTCTGGGAAGCTTGAGTATGAGCAGCAGTACGTGCTGCCCCGAGGATGCAAGGCGTGGAGTCTGGATGGCTGGCTCAGGCAGTGTCCTTCCCACCCCTGGGCGTGCCTTCCCAGGCATGCTGAGAGGATGCAAAGCCAAAAGCTTTTGCTCAGACATTGCTTAGTCAGGTTAAGCCTATGCAGATCCTATGATTCAGCAGTTCTGCTCCTGGTACATACCCAGAGAAACTGTCACAGAGGTCCATAAGAATGGCCACTGCAGCCGGGCGCGGTGGCTCACGCCTGTAATCCCAGCACTCTGGGAGGCCGAGGCGGGCGGATTGCTTGAGCTCAGGAGTTCGAAACCAGCCTGAGCAAGAGCGAGACCCCGTCTCTACTAAAATTAGAAAGAAATTAATCGGACAACTAAAAATATAGAAAAAATTAGCTGGGCATGGTGGCGCTTGCCTGTAGTCCCAGCTACTCGGGAGGCTGAGGCAGGAGGATCACTTGAGCCCAGGAGTGTGAGGTTGCTGTGAGCTAGGCTGACGCCATGGCACTCACTCTAGCCCGGGCAAAAAGAGTGAGACTCTGTCTCAAAAAAAAAAAAAAACACAAAAAACAATGGCCACTGCAGCACAGTTCACGGGGCTTAGGGGTCACGGTGTCCAGCACTTGAGGAGATGGATGCATGGGTGGGTAGACAGATGGACGAAAGGATGGATGGTCAGTCCTTACACAGAACAATTATCTAAATCTTAGGCTAAGGATTAACACCACCTTCTACATCTGTGGGCAGAAAGAAAACTACATTTCTGGATTCCCTTGCCGCTGGAGTTCGGTTTGGGAGATTGATTCCGCTAGTTAGATGCCCTCTGAATGATGGGGATGGAGGAAACAAAGTTTTATTTCCTTGTTTGTCCTGCAGGTCCAGGCTTGGAGACATCTCTCTGCAGCAGCATCAGGTCTCTGGCTTTGTGGGTATCAAGAGGCAATGGTGACAGTCCCACCCTACATCCCAGGGTCCAGGCCCAGCTTCCTGGGTTCTGAGAGGGGCTGGATTGCAGGCAGGGCAGTATATTCTCGAACTCGACAGCTCCAGTGGTGGCCTCCTGGAGGCCCACTTCTGCAGCTTTCCCAGGGACTTTGTAAGTACCTGATTCTGTCTTAAATCCCTTTTTTATGAAAACAGCTAGAGAAATTTCCATTTCCCAGAAATGACCCCTTCCTGATTTGGCAATGGCTTGCCCAGGTGACAGAGCAAGTTACTGCCCAGCTCAAGTTTGACACAGGCCTGACCTGGCCACAGGTCCCACTGCCCCAGGCCCTCCTTTTCTCTCCTAACCCACCCCATCTGGAAGGGCAGGGCTGGTCCCCAGGGAACCTGCAGGCTGGGAGCCCAAGAAGCAGGGGCAGTAGGACAGGCTTTTCCCCTAGAGCAGCAAAGCCCAAGCCACCATTCTCCCCGCCAGCAGTGCTGACTCCTGTTTCTACAGCATCTGGGGTGCTGGCCCAGGGCTGAGAGGCTTGGGGACTCTGTGGCCCTTGCAGAGCTCTGCTCTGACAGTGTGTAGTAATGGAAACCTGCTACAGGATGACAAAACACTATTACCACCCAGCTAGGTGACCTTAGGAAAATCACCCAACCTCTCTGGCCTACAGATTTCCTCATCTGCGGGGCCCTGCCGAGTTGTTGCAAAGATGAACTGAGGCAACACACGTGTGCCTGGCAGCAGAGTTGGCCTCAACACATCTGAACACCAAGGGTCTTGCATACTTGGAAAAATGAACTAGGGGAACTGGTTCTTACCTGGGAAGATTCCTGAGCACAGATTAGGTTTCTCAGGGACTGAGGTTAGGAAAAGTCAGCTTAGTTTTAGTCCAGATCATGTGGGCCCCTATTTCAGCCCCCAAACCTTACTAGCAGGCCCTTCCCAGCGCTGGCTCCAATCAGCACAGCCTGGGGAGGACTCTCTCCCTCAGGAAGAGGCCACCTGGCCACTGTGGCCTCTCTCACTGTTCTTGGCTGTTGGCCCATCGTCTGGCTCAGCCTGAGCGCCCCAGGGCAGTGACCCTGCAAACCTCATGAGTTGAACAGCACTGGCCCACAGGTCATGAGGCCCAAATTGTAGCTTCAGCCTCCTTCCTGAGTCGCTGTGTGGCCGAGGGCAAGGCCGGACCCTCTCTGGGAAGCGGAGGGAGAATGTTTTGTTCTCCTGCCTCCCAGGCAGGGATTCTGGAGAGTCCTAGCTGAGCACGAACCATGGAGCCCTGTTGTCCTGGGATTTCATCTGGAAGCTTTCTTGGGGCCTATGACTTTGCTATGGTCCGAAAGTTTGTCCCTTCCCAAACTCATGTTGAAATTTAATTGCATTTGTAATAGCATCAAGGTTTGGGACCTTTAAGATGTGATTAGGCCACATGAGCTCTTCTCCCATGAATGAATTAGTGCCGTTATCACAGGAGTGGGTTCGTTACAAAAATGAGATTGGCCCCCTTGCACTCACATGCTCTCCCTCCCTCTCACCCTGTCTTCTGCCATGGCATGGCGCAGAAGGCCCATGGCAGGCATCAGCCCCTCAATCTTGGACTTCCAGCCTCCAGAAATGTGAGCCAATAAACTTCTGTTCATTATAAATTACCAAGTCTCAGGTGTTCTACTACAGCAGCAAAAATGCACTATGACAGGCCGGGCGCGGTGGCGCACGCCTGTAATCCTAGCTCTCTGGGAGGC